ACTCCAGTGGTCTCTGGACTGTTCTTCCCACACAGTGTGCACTCCAGTGGTCTCTGGACTGTTCTTCCCACACAGTGTGCGTGGACTCCAGTGGTCTCTGGACTGCTCTCCCCACACAGTGTGGACTCCAGTGGTCTCTGGACTGTTCTTCCCACACAGTGTGCGTGGACTCCAGTGGTCTCTGGACTGCTCTTCCCACACAGAGTGCGTGGACTCCAGTGGTCTCTGGACTGCTCTCCCCACACAGTGTGGACTCCAGTGGTCTCTGGACTGTTCTTCCCACACAGAGTGCGTGGACTCCAGTGGTCTCTGGACTGCTCTTCCCACACAGTGTGCACTCCAGTGGTCTCTGGACTGCTCTTCCCACACAGTGCGCACTCCAGTGGTCTCTGGACTGCTCACAGTACCAACAGTGACGCTGCAAAGTAGTTGTTAGGGGTGGAGGAGTGAAGTCTGGAGGTGTCGGCACAGACTAAGCTTTTCTCAAGGATTTTCATCTGTGGCTGCTGACCTCGCTGATGTAGAACCTGTACCTTGAGGGATGTGTTAAATGTCATAATTCGCATTCTGGCAAGTCTCTCGGGGAGGGCTAAGTCCTGTCTGTGTGTCTCTGCGATAGCTACAGGGCCCAGTGTCTCCTAGCAGGGCTAAGCCCCAAAGCACACGCTCACTCCTCTCCACTGGAGCCCCACAGCCTCCCTGCCTGTCGGGAGGGGAGAGAAGGAGGCCAGGGCTAGGGCTGTAAGTCAGGGCCCTGTGCTTCACACCGGGGCTTCCCTCCCCCTGTTTAAGGTAGGTGGGCTTCTAGGAAAGTGGCACTTCTAGATAGTATTCTCTCATTAGGGGGGCACGGGAAGAGGAAGAGAACAAGAAAAATAATATTTGAAAATTCATAATCTCTCCAAACAGCCTTTTCCAGCTTTGAATTATTTTGACAGAAAGTCCCTTGTTACCATGAGGAGACTGCCCTGCCTCAAGGCCCATGCCCACAGGCCACAGTTCATCCTTAACTGTTTTGTTTGGTTTGGTTTGGTTTGGTTTGGTTCTGTTTTTTCAGACAGGGTTTCTCTGTGTAGCCCTAGCTATCCTGGAACTCACTCTGTAGACCAGGCTGGCCCCAAACTCACAGAGATCTGCCTGCCTCTGCCTCCTGAGCTGGGACTAAAGGCGCCCGCCACCATGCCTAGTCCTTAACTCCTTAAGGCAGCTGGCATCCTTCCCAGGCTGTGCCTCTGAGGTACGAGTGCCTCATGAGGTGGTGATCTAAGTGCTGTGTTCAGATCTACTTGAAAAATTATTTTCGTTGACAGGTCTCATCGTGTTCCTGCTTCAGGAGACCTTAGGGACTGTCGTCAACCAGGGGCTTCTGGAGAGATCTGGACCATTTTCTATGAACCTTCCACTACAATCTCTATCTTTAAGAAGAAGCTTAAGGGCCAGAGCCAACAAGATGACCGGAATCCCCTCGTGAGCGACTAAAGCCTCATTGCACCCAGACAGGAGGCCTCCTCTCTGAGCTCCAGGCTGCCGGGGGTCCCTTCCCCCATGGTTCCTCTCTAAGGACTTCCCTGCCTCTCCACTCAGCTAGGTTTCATGGGGCCACCCTTCTCCAGACTGGGAAGGGGCCCCCTGTTGCAGGGACAGTGTAGCCTGGAGTTGTCCTCCATCACTTGCACTTACGCTGGACCCTCGTGGCCCCAGCACCCGGCCTGCACCCCTGTCTCCACTGGGGATGCTAAGCCTGGGCGGAGCTGACAGGACACAGCTGGGCCTGATTCCAGAAGACTGTTGGGTGGTGGGTAGTTTAGTGTGTGATGAGTTCTTCTTGCTTCTTCTCTATTTTGTCCACATATGGATCAGTTTCCCCTGGTCTACAGTTTGGAAAAGAGCCAGACGGAAGAAATTCTCAGGTTTTCTTGAAGGCTGGCCTGGTTCCCTGCCAAGTGTGGTCTCCTGGACATTAGCACCTCAGAGTGCACAGAGGCCCAGTGCTCTGTACTGGGCCTGTAGCCTTCTCTGATGTCAACTAAGATGTGCCTCATCTAGTCTGAGGGGACTGAGAACAGGTCCACACTAGATGTCTTCTTTCTAAAGGATTCTTTCCAATACTCACTGACCTACAGGGTTGAACATAAAAAACAAAAAAACCCATCTGTTTATACATGGAGCAGACACAGTAAACTTCTTGTATACTAGACTTACCTAGCCTGGCCCCAGGCAGTTCACAGTCCTGTGGAATCTGAACTCGGCCTGTCTCTGTCCTCTCAGCTATCTCCTAGTTCAGGAGTTTGAAGGCCGCATCATAGTGCTGGGCTGTAGCTCACGGGTAGAGCGCTTGCCTTGCATGCATGAGGCCCTAGGGTCAATGCCAGTACTGCCAAAAAGGGGGAGAGAGAAAGCCTGTGGGCAGCACGATGAGACGGCAGGCCCGTGGATCCTACACCATTTGAAAAGCAGCTCAGGACTCCTGAGAGCTGTGTCCTGTGTCCCTTGTCATGGGGACAGAGCAGTGAGGAAGGGCTCCTGTCTCACCCCATCGCTTGTCCCTTAGACAGGGAGGCAGACGGCAGAAGTTGGCCAAAGGAAAAGGGAGGGCTTGGGAACTGGAGATCTTCCCAGGAGAGGCTGGGAGATTGAGAGTTGCAGCTGCAGTGGCCGCCAGTTGTGAGAGGAAGGGCCATCCCTGATGGAAAAGTCCAGCAGCAGCTGAGAGGAAGAGCTGTGCCCTGAAGGTGGACCTTGGTCAGCGCATGGCTTGTCCGGCCAGCACTGGAGCTTTGGTGTTTGCAGACCTCTGATCTCCTGGGGCCCTCTTGGAGCACTGCGCTTACTTCGCCTGCCTGCGTCTCTAAGCCACTGTCACTGGGGCCTTTTGTAGTGTTGGGTAACCCATCAGTAGCTGGCTGCTCCAGGACAGAGGACTGTATGGGACCATCAGGGAGCGTCCTCAGGGAGAGGCACTGACCAGCTGATGGTAGAGAGGCGACCAGAGGAGCAGAGTGTCTCTCCAGTGGGCCGGGGTGCTGCGGGGGTCCAGAGCTGCTGGGGGTCATCTTCTCACTGTGATCTGGAAAAGCTGCAGGCTCCTGAGTCTGAAGACAGGCTCACCACCCACGAAGACCGCTGGAAATAGACTGCCAGGAGCAGGTTCCACTTCAGGCTGTTGCTAGCATTTGTGGGATCCCCTCTGAGAACAAGTATGAGTCACAGGGCGCCATGTGCACAGCACACAGAGGATGTGGGCGCTCTCCCAGGGAAGGTTCAGCTGGCCAGGACCAGGCTTCTTCAGGCCGCTGCCCAGCTGCCTCTTCACATCTCGGGCACAGGAAGCCGTGCCCCAGTGGTGGCGGCCCCAGCTCAGCTGCCCTTACGGGTGTCCTCGGAAGGGTAGTGGACGTGCCCACACCCCTCTTGCTGCTGGTCCAGGCACAGCCCAGCCTTCCAGCAACCACCTCCTCTCTGGGGAGCAGCCCCAGGAGACACCCACCTTACAACAGCACGGGGCAGTGGGGAGGCCTGTAAGTCACCCAGGCCAAACCTCCAGAAATGGCAGCCACGCTCGGTTAGAACCTGGAGCAGCGTGTTGACCAGTCGGCTGGCAAACACTGAGGGGTGGGTAGCCCAGGGCCCTGAGTGTGCTGGGGGCAAGGGGCTTTTGAGTTGAGGTGGGCGGAGGTTTCCTGAGAAGAACAGCGACAGGAAAGCCTGGAGGTGTAGGCACGGGCAGCTGTGTTCTTCTCCACTGGTCTCCCTGCTTAAAAAGTAGAGACACTAGGAAAGAAGCCTGTGCCTCCCCCACATCAGCAAGGACAGGGCCGAGGCCCCCTGGAGTGAGCAAGGTGACCAGACCGACCAGACCTCTCAGACTTCTCAGAATGTGGGCTCTGGCTTCAGTCTCCTCAGCCAAAAGCTCTGGAAGATCAAAGCTCTGGCAGGGGCAGCCGTCCTGGCCCCTGAGCCAGCCCATGGGATGTGCCTGGGCCAGGTGCCACCCCATGTCCCCATGTCAGCCCAGACCCCACCTGACCTTCCCCATCAGCCCCTGGTCTGACACCACAGGACAGGCACAGCTGTGCCAACCTCGGGGACAGTCCACACTTAACCTTCAAGAGCACTTAGAAGCGGACGGCCGCCCAGCTGCAGGACCCACACTAGGTCTCCTCGGCCAGCTCCTCACCCCACAGTCCTCCATGGTCACGTCTGGGGCTCCTCTGGGGTTGGGAATCTCCTGTTTGGTGTCTGCCGTCTACTCTGGGTACTGCCTTGGGAACTGTCACCCCTCCACTGTCCCCACCCTACCTCCAGGCCGCTCTCAGCCCAGCTGCTCTGGTCGCAGGGTGGGGGCACTCGTCAGACCTGCCAGCCACACCCCACCCTGTCTGCCAGCAGAACCCGGGCCTTCACACAGGCCTGTCCTGCCGTGTTGGAGCCGGGCACACTGGCTGAGCCTGAGTGGTGGAAGGGGACCGTGGGAGGTGAATCTCTCATGTCAGAGTACGCAAGGGAGCATTCCTTGCTGCACAGAAAGCTGCCATCTCTGCCACCCTCGTGGCACCAAGACCTCCCCATTTCCAAACTCACCCTCCAGCAGGGATCTGACTTTGGACAACAGGCTTTATTTGTAAATATGCTCTTAATATGCAACTTTGAGAATAAAATAGAAACATCATGTATTTTAAAATATAAAATGAAGTGTGACACACTGTATACAATTTAATATATATTTTTAGGATTTTGTTATTTAAGAAAATGGAATGTGATGGTACTTAACTTTTACAAAAGAGAGAAAAATGTTATTTTTACTGTTTGAAGAAAATAAATATTCTCATTGTTGTAGAAACAGCGGTGGGCCCTAGGCTGTCATTTTTACAGGGGCATCCCAGGAGTCAGGCCCACAGCAAAGTGTGCAGTGCCCTCCCAGGCACTGGGCCTGGCCTCGGCTGCCTTTCTCCTGGTGGTCTCTGCCTTTCACAGTCTTGTCATTGCTTGACTCAGCTGAGGTAGAGCTGGCGAGCTCTGCAGACCAGGACTCCAGATCAGCTCCACATTCAGTCTTATTGCCTCAAGCTACTCACTGTGGTACCCAGCCTCCACTTCCCCACCCGGAACAGCCTGATGGAGAGACTGTGTAACTCTCCCAGGAAGAACCGGGCTGGCTCCAGAATAACCTGTGCTTCTCTCCACTCCTCTGCCCCCCTTCTCTCGGTTGCCGGTTTGGGTTTTTTGTGCTGCTCAGGTTGGCCACAAACTCCTAGGTTCGAGCGTTCCTCCCATCTCAGCCTCCCCAGTCGCTGGACTGCCCTGCCTTTTCAACCCCCTCCTTAAGGAAGCAACGCTTTGCCATGGTCCCTCTTGTCCCAACAAGGAAAAGAAGTCTCAGTGCAGCAGTGTGGGTTGGTGGTTGGAGCACAGAACTCTAGTCAGCCGGCCAGGGTACGGATCCTCCCGTCCTTCAGCTGGGCCAGGAAGAGGAAAGCAGGAGGGCTTTGAAGGGCTCCTCCAGTAACATCAGACTCCCAGCTTAGACAGAGCTCCTCTTTGCCTCCAGAAAAGTCAGATTAGGCCAGGCGGTGGTGGCGCACGCCTTTAATCCCAGCACTCGGGAGGCAGAGCCAGGCGAATCTCTGTGAGTTCGAGGCCAGCCTGGGCTAACAAGTGAGTTCCAAGAAAGGCGCAAAGCTACACAGAGAAACCCTGTCTCGAAAAAAAAAAAAAAAAAAAAAAAAAAAAAAAAAAAAAAGTCAGATTAGAGTGAAGAGGCCAAAGGCAGGCTGAAGATACAGATCCAGGCAAGAGACCTCAGGGCCTGAGGAGGCCCCACCCCAGCACCGAGGCAGGAGGGCTGACCACGCCCACAGGTCAGGGCACGTGCTTAGACCTGAGAGCTCAGGTTCCATTCAAACCCCTCTTACCATGGGGCCTCTGTGCCCAGGACATTGGGTTGTGAGTCTCGTTACCTGCTGCACATCATTAGTTAAATGGTAGCTGTTGCTTTTATTCTAGAATATATACCTAGGGGTTAAGAAAACAGATGTGTAAGCTTGGTGTCTGGGCAGGAAGAAGAGCCACCCTGCGATAAAGACAGGTAAGTCGCAGGTATCATAAAACCCCGATGAGTTTTACGTGGTCGGAGTCCAGTGATGTCAGTGTGGCCCATCAAGGCAGGGCTACTGGGCATTGGACAGACGGCCTGAAAGGCCGCAAGACTCTGGTCTGAAGAACACCTTCTGTGCTAATACCCTTCTATCCTTGGCTGAGTGTGGGAGGCGGCCCCAGAAAGCTGCGGGGACAGTGTTAAGACACTGAGGCAGGTGAGAGGCCTGAAAGGGGACCGAGATGGGTCAGGGCTTTCCCATAAGCCACGGAGCCAACAGCAAAGCCAGCTGCCTGCTGAGGTGGGCTGCCTGAAGGCTGGCTGCTCCTCTGAGTCCCAACTCGAGATTCTCAGGCGTTGATTTGACTGGACTGAGTGTCCCCGGCCCCGCAAGGTTTTCCTGGGGCACAGGCCAGTCCAGCCAAAGAACCCCACCTATTCATCAGAATGGTGTCCAGGACCCCTGGTCAAAATGCAAGACCCTAGCCCAGTCCCAGGCCTGTCATACCAGCTTCCCCTGGGAAGTGCCCATCATGTCTGGCCACTGCTTCATCCATTTGGGAATGTTCACTGCAGTCAGTTCTGGAAGGAATTATCCACACAGCCAGCTTCTTGTAGTCCCCACTTTGTCTACCAATGGGACAGGGGTCATTTGTTACTCAGCTGCAAAGACTTCCGGCCTGAGACGCGTCACAGGACAGAGGAGTGTGGTAAGCTGTGAGCAACGGCAGGTGTTCCCAGAGACTTCTCTAGAACCTGTGCCCTCTCCTGATTCTGCCCCAGGGGGGACACTTCTGCCACCTTTGTGGTGACCACACCCTGGAAGGCCAGCTCAGCTGGAGTGTTTCTCTTTTCTGAGCTTTCCTGTTTTCCGAGAACCACTGTCCTTCCGTGATGAGAATATTTGTAATGGCAGGAAATGGCTGGTGAGAACATGTGGGGCGGCCTTGCTGATAGATTTCAGACGCACTGGGCAACAACAGAGTAATAAATAGATGAGACCAGAATGTGCCACTGTCCTGCCCAAAGAACCCACTTCGGGTTATGAGACAACAGGAAGAGACCCCCAGGCCCATTTGAATAGAGTTTGGGGCCACCTGACCTTGACCTGAGGTGTCACACATCCCCACAGCCTCTGATCCATCACCAGGGCGGCTCCAGTCCCATCCTTTGTTACAGTGCAGGGGAAAGGCTGGACAAAGGTGACCTTGTCTCCAGACTTGCGAGTCACATGGCCATATCCTCTCCCAAGTGGGCCATGTCTGTTGAGGCTGTAGGCAGACTCTGGGGCTCGGAGAACTGAGACGCCTTTGTTCCTCCGTGGCAGCGTCGGGTCCCCACAGGGGTATGTTTTTGCTCAGCGGAAGGGGACACTTTGGGGATACACTGTGTCAGCTCTAGAATACATCAACTTCAAGTACAGCAGCACTTGCCTGCAGCCAGAAGTCACTTCTGCTCTCCAGCTGCTCTCAGAGCTCCCAGGGCCCCCACAGATCGGGCCTCCACCTGCTACTGGAAGTGGACAATGGATTGGACATGGAATCCCATCTCCAGGACGGCCAGCTGCAAGGACACCCTGGGAAGTGAACCTGTCAGCTCTGTGGGGGCGGGGCGGGGGGCTGGGGTTCGGGAGGAAGGACTTCAGAAGACAGGAGATTGGAGGCTGGAGGTCCTCAGGAGAACACAGAAAGGTCTACATAACGCAGGCTTTTGCAGGAGTAAAGCGACGGAATCTTCTCCACTCACGGCCAGGAACGGAGCCGCTACCACTGCTAATTCCAGCCACTAAACAAAGGATGATCGGGGACACTGCTTCATGCGCTGATCGTGGGATTATATCTTGTTAAGTGGAGGAGGCTGCAAGGAATATTCAGACCTCCAATTTAGCCAAATACAGGGGCAGTGTTTTAAGGGCTTGTGTGAGCTGGGGGAAGCTGCTGGACATGCCGGGGCTAGTCACAATGGCGCAGATAACTCCTGCTCTCTACAGTACTTACTGTGGCTCTGATGCTGTGCCAAGCGCTTCACAGACATCACTCGATCCTTCCTTTGTTTGTCTGGCATTTTATCACTGGTCAAGATGACCTATGAGCTTGAAGTCTTTCAAAGGCCCCAAGATTCTTTTGTTTGTTTTTTGTTTTTGTTTTTCTAGACAGGGTTTCTCTGTGTAGCCTTGCACCTTTCCTGGAACTCACTCTGTAGCCCAGACTGGCCTCGAACTCCCAGAGATCTGCCTGGCTCTGCCTCCCGAGTGCTGGGATTAAAGGCATGTGCCGCCACCGCCGCCGCCGCCGCCGCCACCACCACCACCACCACCACCACTGCCCGGCGGTCCCAAGATTCTTGTGCTGAACCAGACAAAACAAAGAATGCCCATCAAGCCAAAGGCCACCAGCCACTGGAACAGCCATTTTCTGTTGACAAGTGTCCCTTGAGGTCTGAGGTGGAATGCCGAGAATCATCCAGCCTACCTTGGGACTGTAGAAGACGCCTATCATTTTTCCTCAATCATTATAGGAATTTTTTTTTTTAAGAGAAGTAAGCCTTTTTCTCCATGCTTCTCATATAAAGCTGACTGAGTTGGCTGCTTTGGAGAAGAGGTGAAATCCACATCCTTTTCTGATTCCTCCAACTCTTCCTTAGCTGAGGCCACAGCAGCAGCAGGAACAGCCGTGGTGGCAGTAGCCACAGGGGCAGATGTGCCAGCTGAGAAGTCTTGGCGGGACCTTTTCAGCAAGTGGGAAGGTGTCCTCTGTGTCAGCAAAGCCTGGACCCAGGTGTATGCTTTGATGAGAGAATGTGGTTCTGAGGCAGTGACTGGGTAACCAGTCTGCAAACATGGTCAACACTCTGAACGGCCTCCAGGAAGCCCGAGCAGAGTCTGCTCGGTGATGTCAAGCACTGTGGGGCTGTAGATGCTGCTGGTGTCGAACTGCTGGGTGATCAGCCCGGAGGAGAAGCGGGAGATCTTCGCCGAGGGCAGCAGCGTGCCTTCACTGGCTCCCATCTCCTTCACCTCTGGTCCTCACCAGCTACACATCTCTCGGAATGTCAGTGGGACCCTGGGATTTTAGTGTGATGCCTAAAGCCTAGAAGAAAGTTCTGGGGTGCTACGGTGACCTTACATGGGCTGCAGACGGCACCTTGCTGGCCAGCAGCAGGTCCCTGACCTCAGTGAGGTCCTCCTTGTGAACACCAAGTCCATGTCCTCTGGATGTGTGGCCAGTTCCTCCACAGCTGAGTCGGTTTCCAGATGTTCCTGGTGGCCTTGCACAGCATCGTGTTGTTGCCTGTTGGCACCACAGCCTTCCCTCACAGGGACATGCAGGTCCGCAGCCTTGCCGGGAGCCCCAACTATCTGCTCCCACAGTGAAAACGTTTTGAGTTGTCATCCAAAGGCTGTGAGTAGTTGGACTTCCAGGTTGCCCTGCCTTCCGTGGGCATCATGGGGATGCGTCAGGGATCTCCACAGAGGGTTTCACCACAATGGTACCGTAAGAGGATGCCCGGCAAGAAAGCCCGTGGTTGCACAAGCAGACTAACCAGAGGAAAACAGCAATCTCAGAGAAGGGGTCGAGCAGGGGAGGTCATGGCCAGGATGCAGGATTCAGCCAAGGTCCAACAGCTCCAAAACGGGAGCGCCTGCCTCCTGCTGTGCTACAGCGCCCCTCACTGAGCACAGGAGTCCCCGATAGCTCATCACAGATGTGTCCAGACGGCCCAGGAAGAGTGTGGGCTGGGACAAAGA